AAAAAATTAAATATGTCTTTAGGGCTATGTGATTGTGTGTTGTGAAATACAAGCACGAAGATGTGGATGCATATACTACACGACATACATATTGACACAACAAAATTGCAAAAATCGGACACGATATGCCATGAACATATTTTTATTTTTGATAATTTATTAATATGAAGTACATGATTTATGTTATTCTCTATTACAATAGAAAATATAATATTATATATAAAAAATTTTATAAGGATAAAAAAATTAAACATGAGCATTCATTAGTCATTTTTACTTATTATAAATTTTTTTCGTATGAATATTATTTTTAAAATATGCAAAAATCTAAAAAAATAAATATCAATGGTATACTCAATATATGAAACAAAACATGATTACATGAGCATATCTATCAATAATGAAAGATAAATGTTTCATTGATTTAGATATTTTTTTTCTTAAAATTATATTTTGTTCAGTTATTTATTTTAAGCATACAATTCATGATGGATGGTTAAACTTATTAAAAATCGTTCTAATATTGAGCAAACAAATTCTGATCATCTAAAATGAATTAATACAAACCTAGCTATGGGAAATTGACTTATAAATTTATTGTTGCTATTTCATCCTTATTAAACTTTTTATTGATCTAAAAAAATTTTATGATAAAGTTCCAAGAGAATTTTCTTTGGAGAGTTTTCTTTGGAGAGTTTTAGAAAAGAAAAATATTTATATGACTTATATTAAAGTCATTAAAGATATGTATACTAGAGTTGTTACTTGTGCTCGAACAGGTGGTGGATTGACCAAGCATTTTCCTATTTCAGTTGGATTACATTAGTGATCGACTTTAAGTCCAAGTCTTTTTGCTTTAGTTATGGATGCTCTTTCTGGAAATTTATAGGAGGATGTACCTTGGTGTATGCTTTTCGCTGATAATACCCTTATTGTGGATGCAATTAGAGAAAAAGTTCATGAAAAACTTGAATTTTGGAGGTAGAGTCTGAAAGTCTTCGTTTGAGTAGATCTAAAACTAAATTCATGGAATATGATTATTGTAGTAATAGATCTAGTTGCAGAGTTGTAATTATGGGTGATCAAATCGTTAAAATGTACGAACGCTTTAGATTTCTCGAGCCTATTGTTCAAAGAGATCTAGTAGTAGTATTCAAGTTGGTTGGTTAAAGTGGAGGAATGCATCGAGCCTATTGTGTGATAGAAAAGTACCGCTTAGATTTAAAGAAAATTTTATAAGATTGTGGTAAGACTTGCAATGCTTTATGGCTTAGAATGTTGACCTTTAAAAGAGAAGTATAAAGCTAAGTGTCGCTGAGATGAGAATTCTTAGGTGGATGAGTGGTTTGACACTTAGACAAAATACGAAACAAATGTATTCGTGAAAGTGTTTGTGTAGTTTCAGTGGCAGGTAAGATTAGAGAGAGTAATCTTAGATGATTTTATCACATTAAATGTCGACTATCTGATGATTCAGTTAGGAGAGTAGTTGTTTTAGATTCGACTCTTGCGAGGAATTCATCAGGCCTATTGTGTAATAGAAAAGTATCGCTTATACTTAAAGCATAATTTTATAAGATGGTGTTGAGACCTATAATGCTTAATGGCGTAGAATGTTGGCCTTTAAAAGAGAAGCATGTAACAAAGTTAAGTGTTGCGGAGATGAGAATTCTTAGTTGGATGAGTGGCTTGACAATTAGAGACAAAATGCGTTATGAATGTATCCGTGAAAGTGGTTTTGTAGCTCCAGTGACAGACAATATTAGGGAGAGTCGTTTTAAATGTTTTGTCACATTGGACGCTGATCATCTGATGTTCCAGTTCGAATGCGTTATGAATGTATCCGTGAAAGTGGTTTTGTATCTCCAGTGGCAGACGATATTAGAGAGAGTCGTTTTAAATGTTTTGTCACATTGAACGCTGATCATCCGACGTTCCAGTTCGGAGAGTGGATATCTTAGATTCGACTTATGTTAAGAAAGGTCGAGGCAGACCTAAAAAGACTTAGACCTATTGTATAAAAAATTATCGTAACTAAAAAGACTTAGACCTATTGTATAAAAAATTATCTTAATTATTAGAATTAAATGAAAAAAATGACACTCAATAGGACACAATGGAGAAAAAAGATTAATGTAGCCGACCCCACTTAGTGGGATAAAGGCTTGCTGTTGTTGTGCAAAGAAGACTTGATGGTTGGATTAAGGAGGTATAAAAATTTATTAATTAAAATAATCGTCCTCTTAAAGAGAGATAAATATTAATTGTATTGAGATTTATAAGAATTACAAGCTATAATAAAACTAAAAAGCTTATAAAGAGGGAATTGAGAATAAGAAAGCTATATATTTTTTTTAAACAAGTTAATAAAGAAGAAAAAAGAGATAAATATATTATCAGAGCATAATGAGCAAAATAATTAGGTCTGATGTATATAAATTTAATATCTCCATCATTTGTTTATCCAAATGCTATCTACACCCAAATAATTTGGTCTGATGTATATGAAATTTAATATCAAAATTCAATCCTTTCAAATGGCTCCAAGTTAATAAATTATTTCAAATGCTATTTCAACAGATTACTTATCGTCTCCATCTAATTCACACTTGAGAGGATTAAATTTTGATAGTTCTGATGTATATAAAGCATCTATCATTGAAGTTCCAAGTGAGAAAATTAATGCTTCTGACACAGAATTAGAAACAATAACGATGACCAAGCAATTATGCACTCAAGGGTTGCTTAATATGCCAAAATCAATCCAGGACCTATTAGAAGACAGTTTTGAAGGAATGTTAAACCAAGAAACAGAGATTCTTGTTTCATGTTGTGACGGTTTGATTGGGAGTCCTGAGAAAGCATGTCTATGTGATAACAAATTGGATTCCACCATAGAGACGGCGGATCATTATATGATCCATGATCATGTACAGGAATTGTCAAGCCACACTTTTGATATTAATTGTGATAGAGGTTATAACTTACAAAACTTGCTGTAAATAATTCAGTTGAGAATGATTTTTTTTTATTTATTTAATGTTGGTTCTGAAACTCCAGGTGCACAGGAAGTGTATGCCAGGATGAGTGTTCCACTTATGAAAAATGCACAAGTTTCTGACCCACATGATTATAAAAAAATATTGAGTATGGTTCTTCTCATAGTGCAACAGAGATTATTAACAGCAAAGAAAGATACTAAGGGTCTTATAATGCTTCTAAATCAGGAAACGGCGGCGAAAGACTATCTTATGGCAAAGGTGTGTTTCGAATATCATTTTGTTACCTATTCTGCACTGCATGCATGTTATATCTTTCTGGAGACGAATATTGGAGCTAGTTTTATAATGTTTTCAGGTTTTGGCGTTTCTATGCTTTCATCTATTGTTTATGATTTACTTGCGGTTAGAGGAATCGGAAATGAAAACAATGAGCAGCATGATTATGCTATTGGAGACAATAGGAGAGTAGGAGGTCATTTGGTTTCATAGTTGAGAAATTTTACAAAATCAAGCCTTGGATATGGAACTTGTTGCAATTTACGTTCATGAAAAAATCTAGGCCACCCTTGATATTTTTATTTTGATATAAATAGAAAGTGGTTTCCACATGCAATGGAGGGATAAGGATAATTACATGAGAGGGTAGATTTTGCTGATTAATTAGCCATTTGACATTCAGATATTCATATATGTGCTCTTCTTTTGAACTTCCTAAATTTTCCAAGCACGCAAACATAACTACTAGGAAAAGGCTAATAATGCTATCATCTTATTTGTGCCTTAACTACACTTTCAATAATTTCTAAACCTAAAAGATCAATAATGTGTCATGTTAAAGAGCTTAGTTTAAACGTCAGATAAAAAAGACATTAGTCTGATTTCTCCCTTGTTCTTAAATTTAACAAAATCTTGCAGTTGGAATGATTCTTTTTTTTTGTACAGATGACCAAGCTGATTTTGACAATTATGAAATGTATACTTATTCTGTCATCTTTAGGCTGGCAAACACCATCATTTGTTCCTCCATTCTTATAATTAATGAAAGATTGTTATCAAACGATATGTTGTTTTAATCATAAAACCTAAGCTGTTGGTATAGGCCATTATCATCATCATCTACGCCACAACTATTTGGGGCTCAGTACTACCCTTTTTTGGCATCAACTATATAGCCACCTTTAGGAAATTGTTGGCTTATTTTCAGTATTCTCAATGAAAATTATAGAATGGGCAAAATGATTACTATCTATGGAGCTATTTAGTTGCAAGTATTTAAAATTCAGGAGACTTTTAAATGCAGTGTATTTAAAATAAAATATATTTGTAATTTAATATTTGGTTGGAACTAATAAATATTAAAATTAATCTAAAAAAAAATTTCTAGGGCATGAGATCAACATTAAAGGGAGCTCGTTGGGAAGGGTTGAATCGCTGCGGGAGCTCATAGGATATTCATCAATGGAAGCTCAGGAGGACAGGATTGACATGATCTCTCGGGTGAATGGATCAACGAGAGCTTTGGGGGCATAAATGGGAGCTTGTGGGGGCAGAGTCATCTACAGGAGTTTGTTGTTAGGAGGTACTAATGGGAACTCATTGTCAATCAGATTACCAAGGATGCTGTGAGAAAGAATCAGTGATAGCAACAATGAGATTTTGGCTAGGACGAGCGAACTCGGGGAGGAGTATTTCATGAATCTGCTAGTTAGAATTTGATCGATTTGTGCGTTTTTCAAATTTCTCAAAATTGAACTTAAGAGTGTATTTGGAATTCCTCAAATATTTTTTTTTTTGCATTTCTTTTTCTTCAAACTAAATACCAAACAATAAATGTAATGCAGGGAAACTGAATGCAATACATTGCTAAGACTTTCAACCAAACATCCCCTATTTACTACTTTTTCCCTTTATACATTTACGATTGATGACGTGTTGATTCTCTAAATTGATTTAGAAACTTTGCTTAGTTTCTTTATTCTGCAATGCCATATTCGATTAGAAAGAATGTTTGTTGAGACAGGTTAATGATTTGGAAGAGGAACTTCGTGTTATCAAATGGAAAAACAAAGAGATTCTGCAGCAGGCCATCTTTGCTGAGAATGGAAGAGTCACAAAAATTCAGTGGGACAGAGATGAGCTTCTTAGAAAAGTTTTGCAAATGGAATCAAGGCTAAAGCTTGAAGAGGTTTTATTTTCCCATCTTTCTTGTTTTTCAGAATTTCTTTATGATATGAATTTGAATATCTTATCAATTAATTGCTTTTTTTGTCAGGTCGAAAGGATTCATCTGAAGTCAGAAAAAATTGCCGCGAGTGCTGAGAGAGAATTGTTGCTTCGAGACTTAAATGGTAAATCAAAACACTTGGAGAAGTTGGAAAGGCATTTTGAAGAAGTGGAGACAAAGTCAAAGACCGAACTTCAAGTTCTCCTCAAAGAGGTGAAGTTTCTCAGGAAGTCTCAGGAAAGCATTAGAGAAGTGCTAAACCATTGTATCAGAGAAAATGATGAACTAGAGGTATTGTGCAAATTGCTCTATGTCATCATTGATTGTTTGACTTATATTTAATAGCTTATGTAGGAAATATATTAAATTTTTATGTAACACACGTTTTCTTACTCCTTACTTTGCATGTTTGTAATAATTATAAAACAAGGCTGTGAAAATGATAGGACAATGAATCATAATTAATGCTACTTAGTTTCAAACATGAAAATGCGAAAGAATAAAATATAAAATAATTAACTATTTTCTAAGTAATGTTTCACCTTCTGAAGCTAGTCCTTGAAAACTATTACTTAAAATGCCAACCTTTTTGAATCAAAATTTTGTTGTGTTTGCAATAATTATCTATGTGGACGCACTGTCAAAACTAAACAAGTTAATATTAATTGTGTTATTGAGTTGTGTGCATGCATTCTCTTAGATGGATCTTCAGAAAGAAAAACAAAGGAGGGACCATACAATCATGGCAATGAGGAAGCTTCTTAATGAAATTGGAGGGCTTCAACATCGCCTGGAAGAATGCACTGTTAATTTTCTTGCGGATGATGAAGAAAAGTTCACTGTCAATCCTTCTTCTCTGCCTGATGCTTTAGGTCTTCTGATAACCTCGGATAACAGGATTAATCTCCTCATGGCAGAGGTAACCAATTTTATAGATTCATAGGATAGTCAATATAATTTCCTTACAGTCATACTTCTGCTGTTGACCTAAATCCGCTCATGACCTATGGATGCTTTTGCCTTTTCTAACACCCCCAAAAATTAAGGCAAATGTTGATAATGATGATGCTGAAGACCTTGTCTAGCAATTGTTCTTTCAAGTAAATTTTTAACAACATGGCATTAATATCTTCATGAAAATATGTTTTGTCTAATCTATTTTATGCTTATTCAATATAAACTTGAACCGAAGTGAAGAATTTGCAATTCATTGGCTAGTCGAGTTTACTTGCCTTTTAAATACTGAATCGGTGTGTAGGGGCAGGAGCGGTACAGAAGGGGGTAGTAGATATTGATAGGATTCTATGACGTGTAATGTTCCGATTGGGTAACCAAAGCTAGTGGACTTTTTTATTCCTTTCGGAAAAATTAAATATTGTACTTTTTATTCAACACGAACATGATTGAGTTCTAGGTTGAAATATTCTCACTAGACATTGAAATTTCTTATTGCAATCTCTCTTTTTCCTCTCGCTTTCTTTAGTCATCATCATTAGTCACATCCCAACTATTTTTTATAAATTATTGTGCTTGCATGTCTATGAGTGAGTGTTTGTATGCACCAACTTAAATTATACTATCAGCATGTTAACTACCTGTAAAATATCTTCCAACGATTTGTTTTTGCCTGAAACTAAAAAATAAAATCACATCTGCAAATTTAAAACTATCGAAATTGTCTCATACAATGGAATAGGGCAAAGGAAAGGCAATTATAATAAGTGAAAAAGGCAAAGGAAAGGCAATTATAATAAGTGAAAAAGGATAAGACGCAATGGAGAAAAAGGATTCATGCAGCCGACCCCACATAGTGGGATTAAAGCTTTTTTGTTGTTGTTGTTGTTAACATGTTAATATTTTTTTTTAGTTGGATGTGTGGATTGCGGGTTAATGAGTTTGCTATTGACAATTATCATGTGGTTTTCCCATCTTGGATCAAGTTCACTATGGCTAAAAGTAAAAAAATAGTGATTAAATTAGCACAAAACAAAGAAAGAGGATATAACGTAGAGTAGATAATTGAATCGATGTCATTTTGTTGAGAGTATGTGTAAAAAGGATTATTTGTGGTTTATTTGTAACAAAACTGTAACCTATTTAAGTCCATGTTATGAATGAAACAATCATGTTTTTTGTACAATTCATTTCTATTCAATTTTATTATGGGATTTTGATTTCTTCTTTTTTCCCTTGAATAATCAAATTGCATCTGCAGGATGTCGGGTAATTTTGATAACGGTGTAGTGGAATGATTTTTTAGCAATACTCTAGAAATGATAGCAAGGATGAGCTCTATAGTTGTGTTATAATTGGGTAGCAATACTCTAGAAATGATAACAAAGATGAGTTCTATGTAAGTTTTGTAATTGGGATGAATACTGTAGAATTACATGTGGAGGAAAATTTGCTCAATTCATTTTTTCACAAATAGGGTATATAAATAGTGAGAAATCAATCCCTCCTTATTTAGAAATTTACCAAGCATATCTTACCTAAATTAGTAAAAGAAATAATTTCTGAATAAAAAATAAAAAAAAACATAAAAAAAAAGAATAAATTAAAGATATCCCTAATAAATCCTCCAA